GGGCGTGCGCGCCGCGAGCCGAGCAAGGGCGGTGGGGCGCTCAGGCGCGGCGGCGGCCCGGCCCAGCCCTGCGCGCCGCCATGTTGGCCTCCTCCTGCGCCTCCGCCTCCTCCTGCGCGCCCGCCTCCGCCTCCTCCTCCGGCGCCGCCGCCTCCTGCCCGCCGCGCCGCGCGCCCGCTCCCGGAAGCGGCACGAGCCGCCACCACGCTCGCGGTTCACGGGCGGAGGGAGGGGCCGCGCCGAAAGCGTCCCTACGGTGAAAGGGCCGCCGTGAGGCCCGGGCGGAGGCGAGGGAGGGTCCTCCGTCGCCGCTGCTGCCGCCCGCCCATTTCTCTAGCAACAGGTTCCCCCGGGAGCGGGAGGGGCGGGAGCGAGGTGCCCTCGCCACGCGGAGCGCCCCGAAGCCCTCGATCGGTGGATCCAGCGCAGCCCTGGCCGCCGCCCCCGCCTCGCCCCCGAACCGCCGGCCCCCGGGCCCGGACTCGCTCGCCCGGCGCGGCCCGAAACGCACCCCGTCCGGAACGCAGTTCACTCGCCGACCTACCCCACCTCCGGCCCCGCCTGCAGTGCCCCCGGCGCGGAAGGAACGCCCGCCACGCTGCTTGCAGTGCACCCCAGTCGACGTGCATTCATGCTCGAGCCAGGCGCGTCGGCCCACGCGAGCTGAAATCCCCCCACGTGCCCTTAAGTCCCTCCATCTCTCACCAGAATCACCCCACACCGGTTGAAATTAAGTCCCAACCTTCACTGAATTTTCTATCCAACGGTGAGTGGCCACCCAACCTGCCTGGACTCGACCGAACTCGGAACGCAGAAGTCCCGAGTCTGAAGTGCATTGTACAACCAGAGCTCAACCCCGACGCTCTCCATGAAAACGTCCACGGAGAACGGAGACGCATCGCCTTCCCCAGCCAGGCTGTTCCCCACCTGATGCTGACCCCCACCACACGACTGCAGCCTTGGCTCAGGGTTCCCTCTTTGCTTCGGCCCTTGGTGGGGGGCACCCCTGTTCCTTTCTTTCTTTGCGCAATCCCCTTCCATTTAAGGCTTGCTTTATGTGCTCGCTCTTTTCACCTTTAGCATTAGCGCTCAGGGGTCGTATCTCATCACCTTGACTCCACCATCTAAACTCTGGCCCTTGTTAGACCACCCCTTCAATTTCCTTTAATTCATGCTAATCCTAGGTTCTTTCCTCACCTTCTCCCAAAGTCATGAGACCTTTTTCCTTATCTCAGTACTTGTGAATTTAGTTCATCTAATGCCCTCACCCTGGTTTCTCCCAAAACCCTGAAGGCCACCAGCTAGCCTTTCTTTTTCATCCCATCAAACTCCTCCCATTGCCAACCCAGCAGTCACTGAAATCTCCACTATCCCAAATCTTAAGTCGGTAGCAGTACTGAGAAATTTCCTCTGCAGTCTCTCTGTTGGCAGCTTTTGCTATCTATATTTATAAACACCAGCAATTTGATTTACTGGGTGAACTTACCACTGTTGTTTACATTTAGGTGAAGTAACTGTATTCATTGTACTGATTAAAGGCCAAATTATAGAACGAAGACTAGGTTTAATATCCAAAGGAAGTAAAGTCTCTCAGTTTCTAAATGAAAATAAAACAAATAATTCTTCTTACATGCCTGGACAACAACAAAAAAGAACCTACTAAGGAAGAGTGCCCATAATTGGGTCAGGTCACAGCATAATATATTGATGTGAAACTTTATTGTGTTATCAAGTTTCAGGTACTTAATGATGTTTTAAATATTTACCTGTGGCATGTGAAGAACAAAGGTAATCTAAATCAACCCAAGCAGCCTGTCATAGAGTACATGCCAGGGTATTTAATGTACTCAACAAATAGGTGCTGAGTATGGATCAGGTGCCAGGTAATGTTCTTGGCAGTAGTGATGCAACAGAAAACAAAGACAAAATGTGATGATGGCTAAGTGATGGCATTCAATTTTGTCAAATGAAAAGTTAGTAAGTGACCTAATGAAGAAATGAGTTGCAAGGGGGAGAGAAAGTAACAAGTAAAGAAAAAATTGCCACTAAAATTCAAAATAGAACCCACCAGTAAATGGGACAGAGCTGACCAATTCAGATGTCACATAAAAAGAATCATCAACAGTGGCAAGTTTATAGAACATGACAGAGGAAGCTGTGCTGAGCTGAGAAGAGGAAGCAGAGAAGGAAGCAGAGAAAAACAAACTGCGTGATAAAAATTGGAAAGGAGCCACAAGGCTACAAAAAACAAGGAAGGCCATTTTGAACTGGATCCTGGAGTGACTGAAAAGCCAGAGTGTCATTTGAGGATACTAGTAGTATAATCACACTTTTTTTTTTTTTTTTTTTTACATGTAAGAAAGCAAGTGAACACTTTGAACTCTGGAATTGGGGTAGCAGGGGAGGGGCCTGTGGTATGAATATTTATACTTTCACTTCACATTTTTTGTTTATGTTTTGCTTTTATTTTTATTCCAGCAAAATCTTGAAAATGTTAACAGGGCACAAAATTAACAGTCAATTGACATTTGCTCTTCTCTAGAAGCTTCTAGAAGAAAAAAAAAATATAGGTTTATAAGAGAGGTATGAGGGACTGTCTTGAAGATAAGATATGAGGGTTTTCTAATATTAATAAGTAATTTAAAAAATACTTATGAATGTTTATTTTGAGCCAGACTGAGGACAAGGGAGACAATTGTGAACAAGGCATACGTGGTTTCTGCCCTTTTAGAACTGACAGTCTTTACGTGGAGATACAGAATCAAGCAGTTATCATAAAGTGAGATAGGTACTTTGATAGGGAAATTTCAGGATGTAAGCGGCAGATTTCTTGCCCTCGTTGGTGTAGATTACCCTGCCTAAGAATTCTGGAAAGTTTCCAAAAGGAAATGATACTTAAACTATAATCTGACAGAAAGGAGGAAAGCCAGGAAAAGGAATATGAGATGAGGGGAGAGAGTTCCAAAGAGTAGGAACAGCATGCACGAAGGCCCTGGAGCGGGTGTGAGGAAAGCAGTTTAGAGGAATTAAAAGCCAGTGGCGTGTAGCTGGAGTGTAGAGTCCTAGAGAGGCTGTAGCAAGAAAGGAATCTAGAAAGGTAGACACCACATCTCAGACGGCCATTTAAACTGTGATATGTTTGAACTTTATTCCAAGGGAATGGGCAGCCACTGAAACATTTATATAGAGAAAGAAGAGAGATGATCTTATTTAAAATTTAGGTCAACCTAACTAGACAATGTTCTAGGTGGGAGGAAGAGCTAAGGTGGAGAATCCAGTTAGGAGAGAAGACCAATCAGCCTTCCTAAGTAATCACTTTGAAATAAGAATTGAGAGTTGAGTATTTTCTTCTATTTTTAAAAAATGTTTTTATTGATTTTTTAGAGAAAGAGGAAGGAGAGAGAGAGAAACATCAATGTGAGAGAAACATCGATCAGCTACCTCCTGCATGTCCTCTACCGGGGATAAAGCCCGAAACCGGGGCATGTGCCCTGACCAGAAATAGAACCAGGACTCTCAGTCCATGGGTTGACGCTCAGTCCACTGAGCCATGCTGGCCAGACAAGTAATGAGTATTTTATAAATAAAATAAATCAGACAGAGAAAGGCATACCATATGAGTTCACTTAATGTAGAATCTAAAAAACCAAACAGAAACAGACCCATAGATACAGAGAATAATCTGATGGTTGCCAAAGAGGCGGAGTAGGGGATAGGAAAAGAAAAGAAATAAGCTTCTTTGTTTAAAGCACTTTTTAAAAAAGTAATTCAGATAAATAAAAAATATTATTAATAATATACACCCCTTCTAAAAGAATTGTTTTGTTTTCTTATCCAATCTACAATCTTTGCCTTTTTTTCCCCTTAGTTTTTGGCAGGTTTACTATAATATGTCCAGGGTTGGTTTTCTTTTTATTTATCTTAAATGGAGTTTGTAAAGTTTCTTGAATATGTGGCTTGAAATCTCATTAGCTTGGAAAATTCTTGGCCTTATTTCTTTATGTAGTAATTGTATTTTATTCTCTCTCTCCTCTCCATTTGGGACTTTAGTTATGTGAATGTGAGGCTGTTTTCACTGAGTCACATCTGACTCCTGTTTGTTTCTGTATTTTTTATTCTTTTGTCTCTGTGCCACAGTTAGGATTTTTTTTCTGTTCTTTCTTACAGTTCACAAATTCTCTTTTCAGCTACGTCTTATATGCTGTTAAGTCTATCTGTTGACTTCTCACTTTCAGCTATTATATATTTAAGCTCCATAATTTCACTGTAATTCTAAAACTTCCACATGTGTGCCAAAACACTTGCCATTTAATTTACTGAACATCTTAATCAGTTATTTTATAATCTGTGTCTGATAAGTTTCATATCTGGATATCTTGTGGTTATGTTTCTTTTTTTCCATTTTTTGTTCAGATAGAGTGGGAGGGAGAGAGAGAGAGAGAGAGAGAGAGAGAGAGAGAGAGAGAGAAACATCAACGTGAAAGGGACTAATCAAGTGGCTGCCACCCGCACGACCCAACCAGGGCCAGGGACAAATTGCAACCGAAGTACGTGACCTGAGCGGGAACCGAACCTGGGTCTCTGGACCACAGGCCGACACTCTAACTGCTGAGCCAAACCGGCCAGGGCTCTTGTGGTTATGTTTCTATTGTCTGATTTTTTTTTTCAGACTACCGGTCAATTCTTATATTTTTGTAAGCATAATTTTAAAATTTTTTCTGGGCATTGTATTTTGTATATTGTATATTGTTTAAAAACTATATAGACAACCTGAGGTTCTAGATGATGTTATCTTTCTTACAAGAGTATTTATTTGACCTCTGGTAGGCAATTAGGAGTAGGGATGATAGCAAATTAATCCAATAAAGGATTAAGTTTCTTTTGAAATCAGACCTCAATCTTTGTAAAGGCTGGTCTGTTTTGGGGTTACCCTTACTCCTAGCATTCTTTGGATTCCAAACTGGGTTTTTGTTTGTTTGTTTTGTTTTTGGCTATATCCCAAACCACTCCAACACATGTGGCTTAAAACAATGATATATTATTTTTCATAATTCTCTAGGTTGACTGGACAGTTCTTCGGCTTCATTTAGTATTGGCTGGGGATCACTCATAAAGCTGCATTCACCTGAGAGCTTGGCCGGAGGCATTTTGGTGCTCTTCCACATGGTCCCTCTCTCCACATAATGTCTCATCTTTCAGGGCTTCTCCATATGACCTATATCTCCATCGGGATAACCTGGACTTCCTTAAGCGTGAAGGTTGGGTTCTAAGAGGGAGAATTCCAAAAGTACAAAACCTCATGGTAAGTGCCTACCAAATCTCCCTTTGTGTCACTTATTAAATGTACTATTGCTAAAAACAAATCACATGGCCAAGAAAGCCAACATGAGGGATGACCACTGGAAGTCATAAATACTGAAATGTATGATTCATTGGGGGCCACCAACGTAATAGATTACCATGCCAAATAAAGGCCTGGGGTGTTTACCACAGTATCTATTCTTTTATGGTTCTTGATCTCCAGTTTTTGTCATCTCAGATCCGTAAGACTGCCCAAAGCTCTCCTTAGCTTCTTGCCCTCTCGGTTGCTGATTAAGAATCAGTGAATACAGCAAAGGGAAAAGCAGTGCTGAATGATGGGCTAACCTCTTTGTACTTTTGTTCTCCTTGGGATTTGACCCTTCATGTTCTTCCTGTCCGATGCCTTCAAACAGATATTTCTTCTGTTCTGCCCAGCTTGTCTAGTTGTTTTCAGTAAGAGGGGTGGTCTTAAACAAACAGATCTGTCCTTGCTGGAATCAAATTCCATGGAAGGGAAGAAGATGGAGAGCACTTCAAGACAGAGGGTAAAAGGAACAGGCCCTGGCAGAGAAGACTTGGCAAGAGTAGGAAGAGTTAGTATTTTGCAGAGTCCATGAATGCCTTGCTGTCTCACAGTGCCTCAGGAAGTAGAACATAAAGAGAAATGGCCCCCAGATTTCCAGCTTTCACAAAATCCCCCAATCTCTAGCAGGGCAGGGAAGCAGCAGAACAACCTTCACTCAGAGGACCTTAACCTGTGCAGGCTCATTTTGTGTTCTTTTCGATGTTAAATTGTATAGACCAAGGACCAGAGGGCCCTTCCTGATGTCCTAGACTGCAGAAGACCCCTGTAACTTGTATAAATCCTCCCTGCTTCAGGGAAGGGAACCCTAATTATAATGAAAATGTTCTAAAATTGACTGTGATGATAGTTGCACATATGAGCATTATAAATTAACATCTCAATACTTTGGAAAATGAGGGTTGCGGTGAGATTTAATTTGTTTCAAAAATATAAAGTAAAATGATATTTAATGTACCATATGTTGATCGATGCAAATTCATACCCATTATATATGCTAAAAAATAATAAAAACCACCAGAAAATTGGCATCAACAGCCATACCTTAAATACTCTACTTGGGCATTGATTTTTTGGGGGGCGGGGGGGCAGCTTTATTGAGATGTAATTCACATACCATACAGTTCACTCATTTAAAGTGTACAGTGTTTTTTTGTTTTTTTTTTATCCTCACCCGAGGATATTTTTCCATTTTTTTTGTACAGATAGAGTGGGAGGGAGAGAGAGGAAGAGAGAGAGAGAGAGAGAGAAACATCGATGTGAAAGGGACACATCGAGTGGCTGCCACCCGCACGACCAACCAGGGCCGGGGACAAACTGCAACCGAAGTACGTGCCCTTAGCGGGAACCGAACCCAGGTTTCTCCGGACCACAGGCCGACGCTCTAACCGCTGAGCCAAACCGGCCAGGGTTGTACAGTGGTTTTTAGTATATTCATAAATACATGTAACTATCACCACAATCATTTTTATTTTATTGATTTTTAAAAATCTTTACCTGAGGATATTTTTCCATTTATCTTCGGATAGAGTGGTAGGGAGTGCGGGAGGGAGGAAGAGAGAGAGAGAAACATGGATAAAAGAGAGACATCGATTGGTTGCCTCCCACATGACCCCGACCAGGACCAGCGACGTACCCTTGACTGGAATCGTACCCTTGACCGGAATCGAACTGGTGACTCTTTGGTCTGCAGGCCGATGCTCTAACTGCTGAGCCAAACCGGCCAGGGCCACCACAGTCATTTTTAGAACATCTTAATCACTTAAGAAAGAATGCCCGTACCTTTTAATTATCCCTCTTCTTTCTCCTCATTCCCCACAGTGCTGAGCAAATTACCACGAATCTACATTCTGTCTCTGTAGATTTTTCTAGTCTAGAAACTTCATCTAAGTGGAATCTAATAATATGTGGTCTTTTTTGTCTGGCTTCTCTTACTTAGTATACTGTTTTCAAGCTTCATCCATGTTGTATAGAATGTATCAGTACTTCATTCCATTTTATGATTGAATAATATTTCACTGTGTAGACATACCATGTTTTGTTTATCCATTTATAATGGACATTTGAATTGGTACTACCATTTGGGTATTATGAAAAATGCTACCCTAACCATTTATGTAAATTTTTTTGTGTGGACATACGTTTTCATTTCTCTTGGGTATATACTTAAGAGTATATTGGGCCCTGGCCGGTTTGGCTCAGAGGTTGGAGCATCGGCCTGCAGTACAGAGAGACCGGGTTCGGTTCCCGCTAAGGGCACGTACCTCGGTTGCAGTTTGTCCCCGGCCCTGGTTGGTCGTGCGGGTGGCAGCCACTCGATGTGTCCCTTCACATCGATGTTTCTCTCTCTCTCTCTTCCTCTCTCTCCCTCTCGCTCTATCTGAACAAAAAATGGAAAAATGTCCTCGGGTGAGGATAAAAAAAAAAAAAAAGAATATATTGGGTGTAATATCAACTCTATGTTGAGGAACTGCCAAATTGTTTTCAAAGTGGCCTAACCATTTTATTTTCCACGAGCAGTGTATGAGTTTCTGATTTCTCCACATCTTCTCTAATATTTACTATAAGCTGATGTTTCTATTATAACCATCCTAGTGGATGTGAAATGGTATCTTGTGGTTTTGACTTGCATTTTCCTGCCAATGTTAAGCATCTGTTCATGTGCTTATTGATCAGTTGTGTATCTTCTTTAGAGAAATGTCTGTTCACATCCTTTTCCTTTTTTTGAATTGGGTTATGTTTTTATTAAGTTGTAAGAGTTCTTTTATATTCTAGGTCCAAGTCCTTTACCAGATACATAATTGGCAAATATTTTCTCCTATTCTGTGGGTTATATTTTCACTTGTTGGTAGTGTACTTTGAAGCACAATTTTTTTTTTTTTTTTTTTGATGAAGTTTAGTTTATCTTTTTCTCTTTTGTTGCTAGTGGGTTTTTGTTTTTGGTGTTATATCAAAGATATTGCCAAATCCAGTGTCATGAAGTTTTTCACCTATGTTTTCTTCTAAGAGTTTTATTGTTCTAGTTCTTACATTTAGGTTTTTGATCCATTTTGAGTTAATTTTTGTGTATAATGTGAGGTAATTTTATTCTTTTGCATTTGGCTATCCAGTTGTCCCAATGCTATTTTTTGAAAAGACTCTTCTTTCCCTCATTGAATGGTCTTTTACCCATGTCAAACAATCAATTAATTAAACATAAATATGTGGGTTTACTTCTGGACTTTCAGTTCTATTCCAATGGCCTATTTGTCTGTTTTTATGCCTATACCACACTCTTTTGATTCTGTTTTTTTGTAATAAGTTTTAAAATCTAATGTGAGTCCTCCAACTTTGCTCCTCTTTTTCAAGATTGTTTTGGCCATTCTGTGTCCCTTGCAATTATATATGTACTTTAGAATCAGCTTGTCAATTTCTACAAGGAAGTCATCTGAGTTTCTGATTGGGTTTGCACTGAATCTGTAGATGAATTTGGAGAGTATAACCATCTTAACAATATCAAGTCTTTTGCTCCATAAACATGGATGTCTTTCCTCTTATTTAGATCTTTAACTTCTTTCGGTAGTGTTTTGTATTTTTCAAAGTACAAGTCTTGTACTTACTTTGCTAAATGTATTTCTAAATATTTTTCTCTTGATGCTACTGTAAATGGAGTTTTTCTGATCGTATTTGAATTGTTTGCAAATGAATTTTATTTCAATATAATTGAATTTATACATTAATCTTGTAACCTCTAACCTGCTACACTTGTTTATTTAAATCTAACATTTTTTTAGTAGATATGTTAGGATTTTCTATATACAAGATCATTTTATCTGTGAATAGAGATTGGTTTACTGTTTTCTTTACAATCTGGATGCCTTTTGTTTATTTTTCTTGCCCAATTGCTCTGGCTAGAATCTCCAGTACCGTGTTGAATAGAGGTGGCCATAGCAGTCATCTTTGTCTTGATCTTAGGACGAAAGCATCTATCTGATCTTTACCATTACGTATGATGTTTTCTGTGGACTTTTCATGTATGGCTTTTATTATATTGAGGTAGTTTCCTTTTGATTTTAGTTTGTTGAGTGTTTTATCATTAAAGGGTATTGGATTTTGTCAAGTGATTTTTCTTCATCTATTGAGATGGTCATGTGGTTTTTGTTTTTTATTCTATTGACATGGTGTATTATTTCAATTGATTTCCAGATGTTAAACCAATTTGCATTCTGGGATAAATTGCACTTGGTCATAATACTGTATATATGTTACTGGCTTCAGTTTGCTAATATTTTATTTAAAAACACAGTAATAATATTAGAGAAAGAGAGCAATTACTTTTAGAGGTATCTAGCTTCTAATTATTTACTGCAAAAATATCAGAATAAAAAATGGAGAAAGCTAGAAGAAGAGGAAAAGATAATTTTTGAGTACAGATTTTCTCCCACCCCTTAGTAAAGAGAATATATTGCCAAATGAGGAGTCATTTAAAGTTAATGTGGTATTATCCTTCACTTAGGAAAATGATGCAACTGACGTTATGACAATCCAACATTAGCTTTTGGGCATTTTTTCCAGGAGCAGCAGTAGGTTTTCCTGAGCCCCCATGACTAATGGACATAGTTATCCTTTGGGTACGTAAATTGGTTCCACTGCCTCTGCTTTGGAAGGCCTTTCACTTGTACTAGATGAACTATGACTCCAGCAGGCCACAGCATAAAGAAATGTGTGCTATTGAATTGTCAAACAGAGAGGGACATGGGAGGGAAGGCCAAGGTTTTGACTGCTAAACTGGAGTTTTCTTTAATTTGTTAGGCAGTGGGCAGCCACTAAAGATTTTTGAGTCAGGGAATGGCGTGATTGAAGATATGCTTTAAGATTAAACTGGCATTAGTGTACTGCACATAAGAGATCAAATAAGCAAGTATGGGTTAAGAGTGAAAAGCAAGTATGGGTTGAGAGTACAGAAGTAAGGTAGATATTTAGATTTTGGCAATTGGATTTGATGATCAAGGAAAAGGACTTCTATTTTTTAGGGTTGGATGATCTGAAGTCAGGGTGTGACCTGAAAAGATGATGACGACTTTGGCCCTAGAGATGAGTTGACATTTAACTATGAAAGTTTGTCTGCAGACTTTCCTCATCATATCACATGCATGCATTTGGAAATAAAACAGTTAAAGCTGATAAGCATTTACAAGGAAAGGACACTGGAGCTATTTAACAAAGTGAAAAGATTTTACAAAAAGAGCTAGATGAAAGGACCCATTTATTTCTCTGATGACCTGGCCTATAACTCACCACACTCATGACACTACATGACACTACATGCCAGATGGAGAATTCAAAGCTCATTGAGGAAGAAGTGACCCTAACCCCCATACTCCCATATTTACCCCACTGCTCCTCATTTTCAATCTTTGCTCCTGGGTAGCTAGCTGGTTCCATATTCAAGCTTTCCATATTGCTTTTAATCTGCTCGTGACCTCTTGACTATAGTAACATGCCATTCCCTTGCTGCATGTTGGATATGTTTATCCCTGGTATTTCAGATTTGGGCAATCTCACAGTTTCTAATAAAAGGCTTCCTCTGCCAGCCCAGACACCCAGAACCCTCCTGCTCTGTCTGACTCCAGTCTCTGCCAGGGGATAGAGATTTGGGCAATTTAATTTAATTATATTATCTGGTTTAGGCTTAGTTTCTTCAAAGCCACATTTTATAAGGAATATATAGTAATAATGTAACAGCTTGTAAACCTCTGGTTAATTGAAAATTCTAATAAGGAATATGTTTATCTTGATAGCAATGTTGAAAGGCAGTTGTTGAAAATAGAAAGATAGACACCCCTATCTTTAGCTGACAAATCCGGATTTGAGGCTTTTAATTCCCTCTGAAACCAGGAGGACCCAGCTCTCAGCTTCATCCCAAAATTATTTAGAAGTCTGTTTCATTTTCTGATGTTGATTCACTAGGCTGGATTAATTTTCCAGTGTGTTGTGCTAATTATAGGCCAGTGGAGCTAATGGACTCAATCAAAGTGGCAACAAGTGAAAAAAGAGCAGAACACTCTGGGCTCTGCTGGGTGCAGAGCTATTTATAACTTCACAATTGTATGATGACTATTAATCAGTAAGTATCACAGGGACCCTCAATTTTCAAAGTCATCCACCATCATTTTCTAGTGAATCTTTCCCATCCACTATTGCATTTGTTTTATATGAAGGGAGGAGCCGATGAATTGCTTGCCTGGAGTTATGCCTGTGGTAAAGCCAAAATTACACTTTAAACATTGTGAATCATAATAAAAGTAATATATTTGTGGAGTGCTTTGCAGTTTTCAAAGGATCTTCTTTGCCATTTTATTTACACTGACTAAGCAACCCTACAGCAACCCTGTTGGTTGGTTGAGGATAACAGAAGAGAAGAGGGTGTGGCTGCTCGCTGTCTCGCTCGCTTAAATTTTAACCCGAATAAGAAAGTGAAGAACCCAGAGTAGTTCAGGAGTCATAGAGTCTGAATTGTTTGATCTTCACTCTCCACCTCTTTCTGTTACGTTTTCTTGGTCTTTGAGGTTTCACAGGGCAGCTGTTCAGTCTCATTAACCTTTTGTTTTATGAAGCTTTAGTTATATTCCATTTACACCTAAAATGTATGAACTCATAGAATCTAGTGGCATTAGAAACCTCAATTAAAAAGTTGAGATAATCCAGAGATTGCTTATGCTAAAATATTGGAATAAAACCTTTAAAAAGTAGAGCTAGTTCTAGTGACTACTGTTCCTTGCAGTATACCATGTCCACTCACTTTTCCCCACTCAACAGCCTGGCCCTTTCCTGGATTCACAGGCCCAGAGTGTCCACATGCCCTACATTCAGTCCTCCCAGAGCCTTTCATAGTCCCATATGCACAGAGTTGTACAGTTGGGTGGGTTTTTATTTATTTTTTATTAATTAACTTATTTTTGTTACAGATGATTCTCCCCCCCACCCTCCCAGATACCCTCCTCCTGATCCTGCTGGGTGGGTTTTAAAGGTCGTGGAATCTTCACATCAACTTATGGATGAAGATGCGGCAACTCAGAAAATTTAAGTGATTTTCCAAGTCCCACAGCTAGTAATTGCCAGAACTGGCGTGAAAACCTGCTGGAATTTGGCTCCAGTAGGAAGGTAACTGGATGATGATAGTCAGCTTCTCACTGAAGCAGTGTTAGCCACAGTACATTTGCTGACTTAGCCACACAGAGATCAGTTCCCAAAAGGTGTTGAGATGCTTCTTAACAGGGTTCTGTGGTCATATTACTTGGTCCAGTTAGAAATCCATGAGGCAGATTAGAAGACTGGAGAGTGCAAAGTCCCTTGGGAAAGAATTTTGTTTAGCCCTGGCCGGTTTGGCTCAGTGGTTAGAGCGTCCACCTGCGGTCCGGAGAGACCCGGGTTCGGTTCCCGCTAAGGGTACGTACCTCGGTTGCAGTTTGTCCCCGGCCCTGGTTGGTCGTGCAGGTGGCAGCCACTCGATGTGTCCCTTTCACATCGATGTTTCCCTCTCTCTCTCTTCCTCTCTCTCCCTCCCACTCTGTCTGTACAAAAAAAAAAAAAAGGAAAAATGTCCTCGGATGAGGATAAAAAAAGAATTTTGTTTAACCAAGCATTTCTCAATTTAATCTTTTTTTCAGCTCAAAGAAAATTTAGTAACAGCCATATAATTAGTGTTCCTTGGAACATATTGAAGGACAAATGAAAAGTACCTGTTGAAATGGGGCAGTCACAAGCAGGATGAAAGCTTACCACTCGGTTCTTCAGTACATGTTATTTTATCTTCACAAAACCTTAGGAGTAAGTACTACTATCTTTACTTACAAATGAGCTTAAGACTCTGGTTTCATGGGACAGAATGAATTCAAACTTGCTTAAGTGTAAAGGTGTGTTTATCGGTTCACATAACGAAAAGCTTGGAACACTGAAACCAGCAAGGTTCTCTTTCTCTTACTTCTGCTTCTCTCTGTTTGCCAAGTCTGGTCAGTCCATGCACAGATGCCCTAGCAAGAATGGAGACATGGCTGTGCATGGCTTATGTTCATGCCCCGACCACTCTGCAGCCAAAGGAAAGGATTTCTCCCCTCTGCCAGCACGACATAGCAAGATGCTGGAAAGGGAGTCTGTTGGCCAGCAAGGGTCATGTGCTTTTCTGCTGCCTATCTCTTTGGCTAGGAAAATGGGTACTGTGAATGGTTTAGACAGAGTCTCATGCCCTCTGTTATGGACAATGAAGATATGTTTTCAGAAGAAGATCAGAAAGGGGCTCTGACAAAACAAGTCAATCTGAAAGTTAACCTGCCTTAGCTCACAGATCTAGTAAGTGGCAGAACTTGGATTTGAACCAAGGTCTGTCTGACCCCAAAGTACATATATTTCTTCTTCTATATCAAGTTTTTTTTTTGTTAATTTTTTTTTATCCTCACCCAAGGACATTTTTGCACCTATCTTCAGATAGAGCGGAAGGGAAAGAAAGTGGAAGAGAGAGAAACGTTGCAGTGAGAGAGACACATCGACTGGTCACCACCTGCACGACCCCAACCAGGGCTGGGGACAAACTGCAACTGAGATAGGTGCCCTTAACAGAAACCGAACCCGGGACTCTGGTCTGCAGGCCGACGCTCTAACCGCTGAGCAAAACTGGCCAGGGCTATATCATGTTGTTTCAATAAAATACAAACTTCACTCTTAAGGAAGAAATAATCTGGTGGGAAAGATGCACATCCCTGTAGTAAGAGTAGTGAAGGTACACATACAGTGGCCCTTCAGAGGCTGGAGAGGTCATATCATGATCATAGCATAATCTTCAGAGCCAGGCTCCTAATTCTTTTGGGATTATGGGCACCTTTGAAGAGCTATGAACCCTGTGAACTCTTTATGCCCTAAACATGTTAAATTTTGCATGCATTTTTTTTTTTTTTTGCATATGTTTTAAAGGTGTTCATAAATTCCAAGGTACTTAAGAATTTGAGTTAAGAATTACTACTTTGAGCGGGTATGGCTCAGTGGCTGAGCATTGACCCATGCACCAGAGGTCACTGATTCGACTCCCAATCACGCTACATACCAGGGTTGCAGGCTCAGTCCCTGGTAGGGGATGTGCAGGAAGCAACTGATCAATGTCTCTCTCATCGATGCTTCTATCTCTCTCTCCCTCTCCCTTCCTTTCTCTAAAAATGAATAAAAACATATTTTTAAAAAAAGAAGTACTGCTTTGAAATGTACTTATCTAGAAGAACCAGCAAATTTACCAACCTCAGATTTGGGTCTTTCAGTATTAGCAAGGAGGGCTCAGGAACCCAAGTCAGAACCACGTAGACAGAGAAAAGGCTCAGAAAGCAGTGTGCTCCTTGGAACAAACTCTGGGACACATTGATAAGCAAATAAATGGTACCAGTTAAAGTGGGGTATTCACAAGCAGGGGTGGGAGCTATTCTTAGAAGGTAACTACTATTTTTAGCATAAGTAATAGAATTATACCCATCAAGTTTGACAAAAAAGGAACATGAAAGGATAAAGAGATTTACCCAAGGACATACAGCTACCTGAAGAATATCTGTAACTGAGCTAACCAGGACTCACTTGATGCGTTTGTCCAGTGCTTTTCTTCATTCCATATCACCACGTAATCACACCATAAATAGGAAAGAGGGTGAATATGAATAATAGCATTCATGTTGTGTAAGACTCATCTCACTTTATTATAACTTGTTTTAACTGTCTTTTTTCTCCCCTAGACTGTAAACTCCACGAGAGCAGGGCCTGTGTCTACTTAATAACTCACTGACTGCTTAATAATTCACTGGTACATCCCCAGGACCTAGCTCAAAGTAGACACTCAGTAACACCTCCTTCCTCTGAATGACTGAACAGCAGGAATTCCTGTTCAAAGATAGAATGCACCTTTTGCTGTTAAATACTTTCGCATATGGCTTCAGAGACCCTGCCCTTGATTTTCTCCCTTAGCACCATCTCCAGCTTACCAGTCATCCTGACTCATGCCAAGAAATCACCTTCCATACATGATGAAGGCCCGGGGACTTCTAGCTCCCGGCTGACTGGCTGACTGGGCCCTGGAAGTACAGCTCTTTCCTCCATTTCCCTCTGGGCTCCACTGGCAAAGTTCTAGGCCCCTGGGAAACAGGCTTCTGGCCTGCCTCAGGACCAGCACAGCCCAGAAAGCACCACTTCCTTCCTCCACAGTGGACGCCACCACTCTGGCCCCAGCTAGATAAACTTTTTCTCAACCTCTTTAAACTTAGGCCTACTTTGATAAAAGGGAATATTCCTGGTGTTTGTTAATCAAACCAAGTGTTCTTATTCCTTGGCAGAAGGTAGGTAAGGGTGCTACGCTATATCTGGTAGGTATAGTTAGTCGACCGAGAGTGTCTAATTTACCCAAAGGAAATGTCTATGTAATGTACCTTTAATTTACTAAAGAAGGACAAGTGTTCAAACCTTTGCAAATTTACACTGAAATTAAAATTTCAAGGTCCACATAGCTGTAGTTGTCAAATCTTCCTTTAAAACAAAGAATGACTAGCTGTAATAAATTATACATTTTTATAAACGTCATCTCTCATAGTGTTGCTATGAAACTTAAAGATAATGAAGTGTGGAAACCACCCAGCACCATGCTTGACATATCAGTTGCCTTTCCTCTTATTCCCTTTCCAGCTGTTAGGGTAATGGAAGCCAGAACAGATGAAATTCCTATGTGTATGGGCTAGGACTAGTTTTGGCTGTAAATAACAGAAAATTAAACATAAGAGCTAAGGAAATAGCCTTTCCCCCCATACAACATTAAGTCTAATAGAATCTGCTGGTTTGGTTTAAGTCTGGGTGCCTGTGAAACCCACGGCCAAGAGCTCTTCAGTTCTCTTGGCTTTTTCCTCATGCATATTGAGCCCAAAATGGCTGCTGCGGCTCCAGACATCATATTCGTACCTGAGACAGGAAGAAATGGTCCCTTTGTCAGGAAAGCCAAGAGCTTTTCCAGACCACTATCTATCCCCAGCAGTTCTCATGTCTCACTGGGTACTCACCCTCGTGGGAAGTTGAGAAAATGAGTTCTTAGCATTTCTAGCCTTTATAGTAGAGACAGGCACCCTGTGGCATGAGGTGGTCATGAATGGGTCTTTGGTCAGCTAACTTAAAGTATTGCCACACTGAAGCTTTCATTAGGACCCTCAGCTGTTCTGCAGGGCTGGAAAGGGAATTAGGTGTCAGTTAACAAGATTCACTTTGTTTCCTCCCCTTTGTCTAACCGAAGACCCATTAACATGGTTGGATCCCATCTGGCACATATATGTCTATTAAGCTACATAGACAATGGGGTGCTGGAGCTGGCTCCTCCATCTCCTGAGAGCCAAGTGTTAAATTTTTAGGAATATTGTGAGCCAGCTAGCTGATAAATACTGTCATCATTAAAAATTGAATTATATGAGTTTATAGTTAAATAAATTATATTGAAAAAGGTAATAAATAGTTAAAACTCATTACTTTCTAATATTTCACTACATTTTATTACTAACTATCTTTTGAGTTTATTTTTACTTATCTGTCCATGGTATTTAAAAAATGTGCCACTGTGCATTTCTTCCCATCTCTGTGTTTAGTAACAGCATGTTGGTAGCTTTAAATTGGCTATGGTGGGAGTATTGACAAATGCTACACTTTTTTTTTTTTTGAGAGCCAGTCAGTTGTTAAATATTTACCAGCACACCATGCCACAGAGAGGATGGAGCGAGATGCAAATGCATGCATATCTGAGTCAAGCAGGTGGGCATTTAGAAACAATGTCCAGAGCCCTTCCAGAGATGGAACACACAGAGATGTTTTTCTGTTTTAAACCAATGTAGTAAAAATGCATTTTCTAGGTTGCTTTCTACGTGCAAGGATGCAAAGAAAGTATCATTTCCTCCGTTCCTGGTACTTGAGTCATCCTCAGACAATACTGTTCTCTTTCATTGCCACTGTCGTCATTAATAAACACCCACTGCACACCTACTATTGGTTAGATTCTGAGTTTCACCAGGTAACATCAAATATAGTTTCCATTTTCAAGCTTATGATTAAATTGGAATATTCACAGAAAAAAAATAAATAAGAGAGCATTGTTTCTGAATGTTCCATACATTCTCTTCATGCACTTAAATCTTGAGTTATCTATATATAGAGATATATATGTACATATAATGTATATATGCAATATGTCCATATATTATGTTTATATACACAGATACACATACACACACGGATATACTTGTGTGAACCTTTCTTTAATGATGTGTCCTCGCTAGGCTGTAAGTTCCATTAGGGAAAGCAACTGCAGTTCTTTTGTTCACAGCTGTGCTCCTGTATCTCCACAGTGCCTGGAAGATAGGCACTCAACGAATGCCTGTTGAATGCGCAGATGAACGAGCGAAATGAAAGGAGTAGAATGGGCAATAAGAGCTGTCTGCGGTGAGATGAAGGACTGATCAATGACTGCAATGGTTGGACAAGCTTTAAGGAGGTGCTGGGACTTGAGTAGAATCTTGAAGAACAGGTAGAACATAAATGAGGTATGGATTACCAATAATAATTGCTGGTGTGAATGTACTATATCCATTCTAGAAAATAGCAGTTTCTTTTAAAACTGAAAAGGCCCTTACCATAAAATGCAGCAATTGTACTCCTGGGTATTTATTCCACAGAAATGAAAACATATTTATGTAAAGCCCTCCACACTAATGTTCATATATTCGTAATAGCCACACACACACAAAAAACCCAAAACCAAACCCCTGGAAACAATCCAGATGTTCTTCAATGAGTGATAACAAATGGGTACTTCCATACTATGGAATACTACACAATTAAAAGGGATAAGCCGTCAACACAAGCAACAGGCTGATGGATCTCAAGGAAATTGTACTGAGTGAAAGAAAAACAATTTCAAATGATCGCATACTATATGATTCCGTTTATAAAATATTCTTGAAATATTGTCATTGTAGAGATGGAAAACAGACTAGTGGTTGCCAGGGGTTAGGGTTTGGGGGGAGGGAGGAGGCTTGGCTGCGAAGAGGTAACATGATGGAACCGTTCTGCGTGTTCACTGTGGTGGTTATACAAAGTCTCACGTTATAAAATCGCCATGAGCTATAGATACACACATGTGAACACGAGTGAGTACATGTATAACTGGCGAACCCTGGATGAACTCGGGATCGTAGCAATGTCAGTGGTATGGTGTTGCTATGGTATGATAGTAATGTAAGATGCTAACATTGAGTGAGGAAAGGTGAAGTGTTCATGAGACCTGTCTGTACATTTTTGTGCAACTTCCTGTGAATGTATAATCATTTCAAGATGAAAAAATTGTAAATGCATAAATCAGATCTTTTGCTTAAAATGATTAGATTTCTCATTGCAATTAGAAGAAAATTCAAGGACCTTTACTTTATGTCCTTTGCTCCTTGCCTATCTGTCTGAACTCATCTCTCTATCTTATTAATTAAGTGGAAACCACACAAATCTTCCCTTGTACACAGAGTGCTCTTTGTGCTCTTTCTCACCTCTGAGATGTGTCACTTGCTGTTTCCTTCCTGAAAAGCTCCTCACATGTCTCATCCTCGTGTCTTGTCATCATGCAGCCCCACCTCAATGCCACCTCTGCAGAGAAGCTTCCCTTTACCCCCGTCTAAAGCACCCTCCTCTACTCTGTTCCTCTCCACGTCACCACACAGTTCATTTTCTTCCTAGCACCAGCCAACATCTGAGTTTACCTTTCATCTTTGTTCATCAGCAGTCTTCCTTCACGAGAACGTAAACTCGATTAGCACTGGCACCATGCTGTCTTATTTATAGCATCATCTCTAGTGGTTTAGAACACGCCTGGTGCTTGACTCTAGCAGTGGTTCTCAACCTTCCTAATGCTGCAACCCTTTAATACAGTTCCTCATGTTGTGGTGACCCCCAACCATAAAATTATTTTTGTTGCTACTTCATAACTGTAACTTTGCTACTGTTATGTCTTAGGTGACCCCTGTGAAAGGGTTGTTCGACCCCCAAAGGGGTTGCGACCCACAGGTTGAGAACCACTGCAAGGGAAACTCCACCTTTCCACACACTCACAATAAGTATCACCTTTCTTCCTCCTTTAGGTTCTGAACAATTTTAAGAAATTTGATAAAAGGGCCAAGACAGAGCGAAACTATCACCTTTATTACTGAAAGGGGCTCATTTGGAAGTGTAGTTCAGGTAATGGAACCCTAACCGGTTATGGAATGAAACAGCCTTACCCATTGGGTCCAAGTCAGCTCTGCACTGGATCAGCCCCTCCTTCTCCAAGGCCTGGAACATAGGTGCATGCGAAATATTTTGTGAATTAAAGAGGGAAGAAATAAAGGCTGTGATGAACTCCATCTGCTCATCCACCTAGGTGCTATTTTCATTATTTGGGAGAGGTGTGATTGTGCATTCTATGACTAAGCTCACGTCAGTACTCAACACAGGTGCAGTATTAAGCAGTCCATCAACCTTAATAGAGTTGTTGTCTTTACCACAACTTTCTTGTTTCGAAACTAATAAAAGCATACCTAACATGCCTACTTGTCAGCTACCATAAGGTGCCATGTTAATCAGAAGTGGAATTGGAAAAACAGAAGGAAATCTATGAGTTACAAACCACCACCACAGCATTTCCTTTAAAGGAAAAATGAAAGTTTTCGGGAGACAAATAGACATATTGTCTGGAGCAGTCTGGCTATAGCTATGAGTAAAAGACAAAGAAAGGGAGTTGTCAGCAGAATCAGAGGAAAGCAATATGGGTTAGGTGGACGAGATAAACAAAAGTATGAGGGATAAACAGCACCCTGAACTCTAGCAACCTCTAAAGAGAAAACCTTTAAGCAGAAATAATGTCTCTCTTCCAAACCACCTCCACAACCAAATGATCACAGTGACCCAATATTGCTGAATGCAAACATCAGCTTTCTCTTGCCTATTTCTCTATTATTTCTCTCTCTCTGGTTTGGCCTGTGCCCACTGGGCAAGGGTAAGCCCACCCGTATGCCCTGTTTTGTCAACAGGTTCTGTGTGTGTGTGTGTGTGTGTGTGTGTGTGTGTGAGAGAGAGAGAGAGAGAGAGAGACAGAGAGACAGAGAGACAGAGAGAGACAGAGACAGAGACAGAGACAGAGAGAGAGTAAAGGACCAAGAGGTGGCTGTATGGGAACACCAGACTGTTTTTTCTCCTTCTTTCCCCTGGAAGAAGAGCCCCAGAGCCCCAGAGTAGCATGAAGGGAAGGGAAAAAAGGCAATCATAGATTTTTGCTTACTTGAGAATTTTATTTACTGCCTATTTATAGAAACCAGTTCATTGAAAATTCACAGACCACTCCGTGTTAGTCAATGCTGCTGAGTGTGGCAGAAAAAGAAAGAAAAAAAAAAAGATAAAAAGAAGTCAACCAACATTTGAAAATGTGTTTTAGTCAGAAACGTGCCCCCATTGGTGAAAAACACAAGTGATACCCTATAAGCCATAAGAAAATATTTTTGAGACAAATTTTGGGGATCCACTTCCATAAGATAGGGAGATGGAACACCCGGTTGACAGGTGTTTGCTCTTTCCTTGTGTATTTTGTATTGTTGGACTCATATTGCCATGTAACTTTTCAACTGTGTAGCCTTTGCCCCTTTTCAGCAGGGAAACAATGTGTGTCAGGGGCCTGGCGGAAGCAGAAGCACACTCAGGCAGACCTGGGAAGAGACTGGACAAAGGGACGCTTCACAGAGGTAAGGGCAGGTTAAGGAAAACACAAGGGCAGTGGTGGCCTCCCAGGACTAGCCACAGGAGGGAGTCTCTGCCATCCCTCGGCCCCGTGGGGGCTGGAGTCCTGAAGGAGGAGTCCTGGGTGGGGCTGAGGTTGTCAAAGAACACAGCCCTCACCAGAACCCGGGTGGAGCCCCGAGCGATGACCTCACACTCTCCAGCTTTCTGTCTTCCTCCAGTGCCTCCCAGTAGCCCAGGACAAGGGAGCCCAAAGGCTATGGGCCCCAGCAGCCAGCTCCTTGGGACACAGAGCTGCCAGGAGGATGGTGAGCGTTCCTGGGGCGGCCAAATGAGCGAAGCTTGCCCATCAGTACCAGTGCCCACGCTATTCCAGGTGAAAGGAAAATTTGACTCCGCAGATTCCCTCTGGAGAGCACCGTTCAGGAGGTATATGTACTTTTTAAAATAAGATTTTGGAATTTATTAAAAGAAAACTTTTTTTTTTAAATACAGTTTGGATTAAGATTTAAACTTGTAAAAGAGATTGTTACAGGATAATACATCATGTTTTCTGTATGGCATAAAATAATATGTTATTGAAAATCAAGTAACATTTCACAAGAAGTTCTGTAACAGTTATGTTTCCTGTTTAAAGTAAAAAATTTCCAGTTTCGTTTAGAAAAGGTAATCTTTTAAGTTTCAGACTGGTACTCCCAGTATTTTCATAATCTCCCATTTTGATAAAGTACTGATCACCACATTATATCCACAAAGGCAAATGACTAATATATGAGAATAGAATAATTTTCAGTAATTATTTTAAATACTTGTGCTCCTCAGAAAGTAGATGAAAAACTTTGTGGGTTTTTTTTTGTTTGTTTGTTTTTTTCATGTAAAGAGCAATGCCATTGTCCAGACCTGGGCTATTTGAGGAATGAAAGAGGAAGAGAAGATGACACACTGTAGACCGATCTCCAAGGACAACAGGCAGTCCAGATGGCAAGCAGTTGGATCAGGCCTGTTCCTGCCAAGACATTGCTCAATTTTGCAAGGAACTCAGGCAAAGTTTGATTTAAGAGGCCTGGTTTCTCTGAGAAATTGTCTTGGCCAAAGAAGAGCTGACTTAGCTCTCAGGTTGTCCATCTTTGAGGACAAGCCTTGTGGCATTCTTTCCCCGGGCTGCCCCTGCAGAGCCTGACGGGCACACATTACTGTCACTGTGTGCTGACCAGCAGTCATACCGCTTAGAGTGAAGAGGAATTATCTTGCCATTTGGTCTAGCTCTATGGATGAAGTTAGAGTTAATCTGGGTGGGTGAGATTACATAGAAGGTAAAAAGTACCTTCTGACCTCCAGTGTTCTCGTTCAGAGGGCCCTATTTCTATCTTGTTTTTGTTATCTATCTATTTATCTATCTATCTATCTATCTATCTATCTATCTATCTATCTATCTATCTATCATCTATTCATTCATTCAATACTTATTGAGAGCAGTGGTCAGGCAGGGCTACCACATTGCTCAATCCTAGCATACCCCAATTTATGCAATGTCATAGCCCTATTAGCCTTTATACTTGGCCTAGGGTATACAGATGAATAACATGCAGAAGATTCAATGTACAATGTACAAGATTAGGAATATACAATGAGTGGGAAAGGCAGATAATAAATCACATTGCCACACTGGGAGGATTGCATCAGACACAAATCAAGTGTTGGTGACAGAGGACAGAGCAGTCAACTGTAACAACACTAAGACGTCCCACATCATCTATTACTTGGATTAAATAATCAAACACTCAGATAAAAACATCAGTATTTCCTGGGAGGTGAGTGATGTTAACTTTACCCGTTCATAATTTTCAGGTCAATTTTTATGGAAAATAGTTCATCTCTTTCTTCCTATGTGTGCTTCTCTTCAGCATGTAATTAAGCTCAAGCCCATACATCCTAAGGAAATTGCTCTGGAGCTCACCCTCCCCCCCCACTCCATGTCTCCCCTTTTCCTGCATAGTAAAAATTCCCCAAAGAATTGCCTTTTTCCTCTCCACCAAGATTTTCTCATCTCTCAGCTCACTTCATCCTGGCCCCTACTCCCATCACACAATCAAAATGATTCTCACTAAAATTAATGATGGCTTCCATGTTGCTTGAGCCACTTGGCAACATTCCAATCCTCAGTTTACTCAACCTCTCAGCAACGTTTGCTCCTATGGACACCAGCTCCCTTCCTAACTTAGCGTTTGTGAAACATTCTCCTGGTTTTCCTCCTCCTCCTTCAGTTACGCCTTCTTCATATTGTTGCTGGATTACCCTCCTGGATCTGATCTTTAAATGCCGTAATTCCTTGTCCCTAAGCCTCTTTCCCTTGTCCCTCTGTACTCTTTCTCCAAGTGAACTCATCTGCAGTCATGGCTCAGTGATCATCTATACAATAATAACACTCACACTATATCTTTAGTCCAGTCTTCTCTCCTGAGAGTCAGATCCATATATTTTGACACTCTCCATTGGAAGGTCTAAAAGGCATCTAAAACTGAATTTATTGAAAACCAAATACACGGTGTCCCAACTCAAATCTGGCCTTTCTGTCTACTCTGGAGAATAACTCCACTGCCTATTCAGAAATGTAGCATCAGTCTCAACATTTTCTCTTCAATCTTCCAAACACTACGTCCTATTGGTTTCACTGGAGTCTCTCTCCAGTCTGATCACATCTCTCCTTCTGCAATGCAATATCCTGCCTCTAAGCGGCCACCACTTCCCCGCTGAACTATGGCAATGGCTGCTGATTTGTTTGCCTGTGTTCACCCTCGCCTCTTCTTCCATTCATTCTCCATAGGGCAGCACAGCCATCTTTGCAAAACACAGCTGACCCCGTCACTACTCTGCTTAAAATCATTCAGTGGCTGCCTGCTGCCCTGAGCAAAATCCTTAACGAGGCTGATGGGCCCTCAGGGACCCGGCTCGGCCTGCCACACGTTAGCCCAGCTCTTTTCCTTCTCGCCCTTGCTCAACACGTTGGCTTTCGTTCTGTTCCCACTTTTGTACTTCTGCTTCAGGACCTAAACTTCTCCATCCCCTCTTTTCACCAAATTAGCTCAATCAACTTTTAGAGCTCAGCTCAAATGTCACTTCCTCAGGGAGTCGTTCTTGAACTCTGCAGAGGGCCTGCCCTCAGTTACATGCTTTCATAACAGCCTATACTTTTCTTTTTTTTTAAAAGCTATTATCAGTTTCTAACTACATGCTTCCATTATTTGATTCATATCTGTCTTCCCCTTGATACTGTAATAGTCATGATACATGAATCCATTTCTGTTTCTCCCACTATAAGATGCCTAGTGCTTGGTGTAGTGCCAGGCACACAGTAGGTATGCGAGGAGGGGGGATGGGTGCAAAAGGTGGGGGGGTTAAGAAGCTACAAAATAGTCATAGGGACTAAAGTCAATAATGTAATAACTGTGTTTTGTGTCAGGTGGGGATCACTTTGTAAGTTATATCATTGTCTAACCGCTATGCTGTACACCTGAAACAGATATAAAATGATATGAATGTCAACTGTAATTGAAAAAGAAAAAAAGAAAACTGACATCTAAAAATATATTGCTTTTGGAGGAAAGAAGACCAAAGAGACTTTGAAACCTGGACAGGCCCAGAGGGTAGGTAGGTTATGACATTTGGAATGACTTGGGAAAGATGCGGTGATTCCTGGGCAGGAGATAACAGGAAGGACATCCCGGGCAGAGGTCATAGACACCCTCTCTATGCTTCTGCAGGTGGCGCCATGTGGGGGAGAGTGCACTACACCATCAGAGCACCTGCTTCGGAGGACTAGATATGCTGTCAATGAGCTGTGTGTTCTTCTCTCTCGATCATAATTTCCTCTGTAAAATAACAGTGTTGCATTATTATAGCAGTCAGGGTTCTTAGTTGCAAAAAACAAATCTTGTCTCTGGGCAATTTCAACAGAAAATGAACTGCCTGAAAGGGTATTGGCTGGCTCACAGGATTACTGGGGAGCCAGCAGAACCAGAGAGAACTGGCAAAAACAAGGAAGATGGCACAGGCAAAACCCAGGCCAGAGCCTCAGTGCGGGGCCACACTCCCTTGAGGCCACCACAGCCATTGTGCCATTGACTGCTGAGTGTCACAGCTCCCACCCCTGCCAGGAGTGGGCACTAGCCATGCTGCCTTTGCTGCTGCCTTTGCTGCTACCCATGGAAAGAACTCTCCACCCTCCCTGCTTCTTTGCATCATCAGTGCAGTCATACATTAGACTGCCAGGGAACTTGGAAGAACAGAGCTTCCTAGAGAGGGAGACAGGTTCTGTTGACCGTCACCACTCCTAAAATGGAGAGTTTCTCCACCGCAAGAATCAGAGGGTTCAGATCCTGGGCAGCCAATCAACTTCACATTGTCAGTACCAGGCAGTCTCTAATGTCCCTTTAAAGCTGACAGTTCACATGTCCACCCGCAAAGCAAGAATGGGTACAGTTATCACTTCAACCCTTTTTCTATGAACCTCAGCTTCTTATAAAAGCTACCACCTCATTGCTTTGCCACAGAGCTCTATTTCGCATTGCAAATCCTTCTTTCCAGGTACTTTGGAGATGCACTCCGCATGTCCTTGCGTTACATGTTAATTTGAGCCACTGAAGCCAGCCTGTTTTTTTCTGGCTCCACAGCCCTAAAAATAGGGCATTATTGAATGGCCCAATAACCTGGTCAGAACCCTCAGAGTACAGCAGGCCCCTGTGTTGATTCATATTTTTAGCGAACAGATGCTCTTTCTATTGGAATATCTATTTTTAAACTTTCCAAATGTCAATTCTCTCTCTCAACTGCAATTCTCGCTCTCAAAAATATGCCGGTGTGCTTATTTATTTATTATTTATTTATTTATTTATTTATTTTGTTCCTGGCAGAATTCAGTCTGCAGAGTAAAAGGCACACTTCAGTCATTTAATGGGTCTTTTGGGGCAGAAGTAATATTGATTTTCTTGCCCACACTGTCTTCTTTCTTTTTGATTGAGAGCTAAGAGAACCGGTGGAAAGGAGTTCTGGAGGTGAAGGGTCCAGGATCTCGAATGATCTGTGCCGCTTCTGTCTGGGCAGTTTCCACCAAGTCTGCTTCCACAGGCAAGCGGCGCGTTTACCGTAGCCAGAATGTGGGAGCGACGCGAGTCTTATGAAATCATTCAGTGTGAATAGCTGATTCCGGCTGCATTTGCTACTGCGCCAAGGTAACAGAGATGTGAACGTAGTGATACGACTGATGCGTTGGAAACCACCAGCGATCTTACACATCCGGATGGTGGCAACTCCTCGAGGAGCCCCCTTTGGAAGGCATTGCGCTTGATCTGACATCTTTTTTTTTTTATCCTCACCCGAGGACATTTTTCGATATTTTGTTCAGATAGAGTGAGAGGGAGAGAGAGAGAGAGAGAAACATCGACGTGAAAGCGACACATCGAGTGGTTGCCACCCACACGACCCAACCAGGGCCGGGGACAAACTGCAACCAAGGTACGTGCCCTTAGCGGGAACCGAACCCGGGTCTCTCCGGACCGCAGGCCAACGCTCTAACCGCTGAGCCAAACCGGCCAGGGCTGATCTGACATCTTTTTGCTCAAAGCATTTTTGGGAATACTTTTCTCGGAGCTCTCTTCCCAGGTGTGGATCCGGCTCTGGAACATCCTCCGTGACAGCAGCCCTACGTGCTTGGGGAGCGAGGGCACTAGCTCAGGAGAAGGTGCTGGCCAACTCTGACAGGGCTGTGGGAGGAGGAAACGTGGCCACAGTGAGCTGACCTGAGTTTTGGAGTAAGATATTTGCGCTCAGATCCCCTCTCTCCCACTTCCAAGCTTGGTCAAGCTGCTCAGTGTCTCAGAGCATCACATTCTTTGTGTGGGAAATGTAGGAAACCCCACCTTCCCCTTCAGGGTTGTGGTAAAGATTAAATGTATATAACGTGTACAGAGTTCTGGTCCCTGGTAACAATGCAGTAAGTTTTCATGCCTCCTCTACTCCACAGTTCTAACACACTCTGTCCTCCCAAAGGAGGCTACCTTGCTCTTTTCCTTTTAAGCCCTTGACATCTATAAAAAAAATTTTTTTTAGAGAGAGAGAGGAAGGGAGAGGGAGATAGAGATAGAAACATTGGTGAGAGAGAACATTGATTGGCCACCTCTTGCAAGCCCCCCACTAGGGACCGGGCGCACAACCTGGGCATGTGCTCTGACCAGGAATACAAGTGGCGACCTCTTGGTGCAGGGGTCAATGCTCAACCACTGAGCCACACCAGACGGGCAGCCCTTGACATCTTTATTGATGTTCTTGCTCTTGTTGTTCCCCAGATTTACTCGCCCTTCCTCCATCTCTGTATGTTTAGATCCTATTTTTCCTTTTAAGGTCTAGCTCACATGAAAACAACACCAGTGAGCAGAGTGTTCGGGCGATTTGCTCAAGGCCTCATAACTCCCATGTAAGTGGTAGAGCCAGACTTGGGCCCCGACCATCAGACGCTAGTGTCTACACTCTACAGTGTTTACACCACCACATTAGGTTATGCTGTACCTACGTATAAAAGCTTCTTCCACCTTCTTCATGAAGCGCTCCAGATCCCTCCCGTAGAAACACTCTCTTCTGCCTTTGAATTCCATATGCTCCATGCTTTCTAATGACACAGTATTTTTCCACAGGATATTGTGATCATTTAGTTAGTAGTGTTACCTTGTTAAACTTAACTCTCAAGAAGTGTCATTTTTTCCTATATTACTCTTCTTAGTATCTTGCATAATTTCTGTAGGTGCTT